TACGAGTTCGAATTGGTCGTTGCTGAAAACGGCAATTTTCATTGGACATTGGATGTGCTCTCTGATACGGAAAAATGTTAAAGGCAGCGATAAAGAGGAAGCGCATCGGGAAAGCATGTGCACCACATGAAGCAGTTACTTGGCTGCCAAGGAAGCGAGGTGTGGCGCTTTCACGACTAAAGGTGCGCTGGTTGCTGAGCAGAACTTTGAAAGCACCTCCTGAAGCGATTCCGCCACCACTTTACTTGTTGATTTGGTTGAGGTGTGTGGCCAACAGCGGCACAAATGGAACACAATGAATATAACTCCAATAAAACGTGGTTTGGTCTGATCTTGATCAAAAAGTGAATGCCACATTTCGTTCAGAAGACCCATTCCTTGTCATTCCCAAATTTGATCGCACTGCCGTTCTACTTCTTTTCTATTTGTGGTGGATGCTTTGTGGAGTTGCTAGCACGGAAGGGTCAGTGATCAGAAACCATGCCTCCCGATACGGTAATTCACAATATTGCCCATTTGAGACTAGCCGCTCCAATAACTATAGCCATGTATAACTGGACGAACGAGGAAGCGATTCTGTACAACGGAATCGTACAGGTGATCTCGTGTGGAGTGTCGACGATTGGATACACGGTTATCGGCTCTACACGTATTGGAACGTGGTCAGTTCAGTTTTATTCAAAAAAAAGGTGACGGAGCATTAGAAAAGGCGCGAACCCTCTCTGATGTGATCATAGAAGGAGCGGAAGAGAATAATGAAAAACTGCTCAGGAGGTTTTTAGGGATCGACGCCTCGTCCTAGCCATGGGCCTCTTGGGCTTTTGGTTCTTTCACTTTTGCCACTATCCACTGCCGTTTTACGAAGGACCTCTAACAAGGCCTGCACTAAGTAAGTTTCGACTAATTCAAGACTAACTCCTTTTGATGAAGCAATTGTTTCTTATTCCAGTGAACAGCACAGCATCTGTAGGTGGAGGTGGGTGCTTTCCCGAATACGAGTGGTGCGACTACACCCGAAGGTAGTATATCCTTGGAAACGTTGTGTTGTTAGCAGAACCTTTGTTGACAGGGTTCCGATGGCACTGTACTTCTTCAACTTCGCCGTGGTTCAAGGGTTCGCATATCCGTTGATATCAGCTCCTTCTAACACACTACTGTCAGAGATAATTGGCCCTCGGAAGCAGGTTTCCACTGACTATTAGCTCAGATTAGGCAATGAGTAAATGATATCCACCGAATGCAGGAGTTTTTAAGGGTACAGTTCAAGGACTATTCGCGTTCACCGGAAGCATGGCGCAGTTCACTGTTCCTATTTTTTCAACGTGAGACACATAATCACAATCGATAACAATCACAGCTTTTTACCTCTTATGGCGTCAGTCACCTTAGTATCACATTTTGTTTTAGGGCTTTATTCGAAACGTCTGGTTACAAGTTCATCATGGTATACCATCTCGCAGTAATTACTTCGGCGGCGTTGATAGTGTTCGTTCTACGAAAGCGGCTCGTCCCGCTTGAATTGACGCCTACAGTCGGAAAAGCGACAAAGTACAAAAGGGGAACATTCTACAGAATGTGAATAATAATTTGCGTATGGATCACTGTGTACTCACTTGACCATTTTCTGTCAGACATATGAGAACTTATTTGCTGGAAGTGCTTGTGTCGACTCCCTGCTTCTAAGTGTTATATGATTGCTTCGTATATTCAACTGCATTGTTGAAAAAATAAACTGATAGCACAGAATAAAGTAATAGGAGTCGAACCACAGTATAGAAAGTATTCAACGTTTTCTGTTCATCTGTTAATAAGAAAGTCGAAAAGGAACATTGCAAACTCTTTGAAGGTTGTTACTATGCAGCTAATACGAAAGCGCATTGCCTACCATAAACATTGTAAGAACAGTGGTGAAGGCTGAATGAAGTGTTTTATTGTTTTTGTGCTAGGGAAGAAAAAGGTTTCGTGCACAACTTTTTCATCTGACTATGTGATCATTTCTTGAGCACCAGAAACTGTGATATCCGAAGCTGGCCAAAATAGATCTTCCAGTACCAACATTAGGCCCACAACGTGTCCGAACACCACAAATGTTGCTCAGGGAAGTTGTTCAGGACGCAGCGCTC